AATTCGAGCTCGGTACCCGATTCCGACGGTTGAGACGAGAGGCCCAAAGCGGGCCCTATCATAGTTTCTTTTAAGATCAATATTTCTCGACCAACTATATTACATATGATAGAACTCGACGAGCACTACAAAATAATATTAATTGGAACATTGTATCGAGTATGTGAACAAAGTTACAGACCAACGGGCCGAAAACCGCCAAGGCCCGGTCCGGCACGGATTCGCAGCTTTATAGCTTGTAACTTTGTTCACAGGCATGACACAGTGTCCCAAATAGTATCATTTTGTAATGCTTGTTGAGTTCTATCATATCTAGTTTTGTTGGTTCCAGGAATTTGATTCTAAAAGAAACTATGGCAGATCCCGCGAAGGCCCAACAAAGGCCCGGTCGCAAGTATGCACACTGCCAAGTTTGAGCTCAATCATCTCAGTTCGTATGCAAAATATCAAAAATATGTCAATTGATAAAATGTTCGTGATATTATGATGAACAATTTATCAATTTACAGATTCTTGATACCTTTCATAGAAATTGAGATAATTGAGCGCAAAGTGCAAGTATGACCTTCCAGTAGAGTGTTCCCGGTAGTCAAAATAAGCTTTTGCTTTCAAAAATATAATTTTCCCCTCTTTTTTGTCTAGTTTGCAACACAAGTAAGAAAACATGCTAGATATTGAAATTAATAAGAGACGCAGACACAATGAGAAACGAAAATTTCCCCCTTTCCCTTTTTTTCTTCGGCTAGCTTTTTCATTTTTTTTGTCTACTTGCTGGATATTTTGGCTGGAATTTTTTTTTCTGCTTTGAAAATGTGCTTTATCCTTCTGTCGTTTGTTTTGACTGATTCTCAGAAATTCGAAATTTTAGTATTTTTATTTTTCAATGAACAGCTGTCTCTCTGAAAAACAAATTTCAAAATTTAAGAAAATGATTTCGTAATACTTCCTTTCTCCACAATTTTCGAATTTCGCGCTGAAATCAGCGAAAAAGTTGACAAAACCAAATTTCAATATAAAAAGACCGAATTAATTTGATGCAGCTATGGGCTGCTTGCCCCGCGTGCACCTTCTCTCTTTTTCTCTTTTTCTCTGCGTCTCCTCTGGACCTGAACTCTATTTCGCCGTATATTGCTCATCTTTGCTTCTATAGAGGGTCTGAGGAAAGGGCAAAAACATAAGGCGTCAGAAACGGTGACTAGGAATCTTGAAATCTTGAAATCTTGAAATCTCGAAGTCTAAGAATCTAGAAAACTTGAAATTTAGAATACCAGGAATTTGGAAATTCAGGAAGCTAGAAACCTGGGAATCTAGGAACCCAAGAATCCAAGAATTCAAGAATCCAAGAACATCAAAAATCCAAAAATCCAAAAAATCCCAGAATCCCGAAAAAGTCAGAAATCCTAAAAATCCCAAAAATCTTAAAAATCTAAAAAACCCAAAAAATCCGAAAAGTCCCAAAAATGCCAAAATTCTCAAAAATCTCAGAAATCTCAGAAACCCCGAACCCAGATTTTTTTATATAATTTTTTTCATTTTTCAGTCAATCATGGATTCGCAAGATGAGTGGGATAACGACGATGACGATTTGAAGCAGGTCGATTCAGATGAAGACGATTCAGAAGAAGAAAAGAAATGGATTATCAAGGAAGCTGTAGTAGAGAATAAGGTAAGATCCCTAGATCCCTAGATCCCTAGATCCCTAGATCCCTAGATCCCTAGATCCCTAGATCCCTAGATCCCTAGATCCCTAGATCCCTAGATCCCTAGATCCCTAGATCCCTAGATCCCTAGATCCCTAGATCCCTAGATCCCTAGATCCCTAGATCCCTAGATCCCTAGATCCCTAGATCTCTAGATCCCTAGATCCCTAGATCCCTAGGTCCCTAGATCCCTAGATTCTAGAATCATAGACTCCAAAATTTCAGATTCTCACCTACTCGGAAATCCTCGCCTCCATGCAAGCCGTCATCAAAGACGTCCAATCAGTTCTCCAACAACCAGCTGGAATCTGTCGAATCCTTTTACAAAATCACAAATGGAGCAAAGGCCAGCTTCTGGAGAGGTTCTACGAGGATCCGGAATTTCTAACGAACACAAATATGATTCCAAGTGATCCAGCTCAGAAGCCAGAGGATGGTCCAAGAGATTGTGATATCTGTTGTGAAAATACAGAGCTAGTAGGACTCTCCTGTAACCATATGGCTTGTAGGGATTGCTGGAAATTCTATTTGGCTGAAAAAATCAAAGAAGGAAAGTCCATAATTGAGTGTATGGCTTCAGATTGTAAATTACTGGTTTATGACTTTAACGAATTCGTCGGAGATGATAAGGAGATGATAACCCAATTTGAGAAGCTCACTGTAAATGCCTATGTCGAGTCTACAAGCTCTATCTCCTGGTGCCCCTCCGAGAATTGCAGTCTAGCTGTCAAATCTGATTCCAATGGAATTGTCGAATGCTCCTGTGGCACTAAATTCTGCTCCAGTTGTGGATCCGCCCCACACGATCCTGCCACGTGTCGCCATGTGAAGATCTGGAATCGAAAAGCGGAAAAAGAGAAGGCGACGTCTTCAGTGGGCTTCTCTACCGATAAAGACACGTTTCAATGGATTCTAAGCAATACGAAGGACTGTCCAAAGTGTATGACGGCGATCGAGAAGAATGGTGGATGTATGAGAATGAGTTGTAGGAATCAACAATGCCGTTTTGAGTTTTGCTGGATGTGTCTGAGACAGTGGTCGGTTCATGGGTATTCGCCATGTAATACGTGAGTTAGGGTTGGGTTATTGAGATTCTGGGGTTCTTGGAATCCAGGAATCCAGGAATCCAGGATTCCAGGAATCCAGGATTCCAGGAATCCAGGAATCCAGGAATCCAGGAATCCAGGAATCCAGGATTCCAGGAATCCAGGAATCCAGGAATCCAGGAATCCAGGAATCCAGGAATCCAGGAATCCAGGAATCCAGGAATCCAGGAATCCAGGAATCCAGGAATCCAGGAATCCAGGAATCCAGGAATCCAGGAATCCAGGAATAGGTACCTAAGATTCTAGCTATCTAGGTCAACATAATACTTTTCTTTCCCTTTCAGATTCAGCGAAGAGGCTGAGAAGAATCGATTAGATTCTCGAGCTGAACTCCTTCGTTTCATGTTCTTCTACAATCGATTCAAGGCGCATGAGCAAAGTTTGGGATTGGAGAAAAAGGTGAGTCGAAATCTTGAGATCGGAATCTTTTTTTTTTTTTTTGGAAATCTAGGAATCTAAGAACCTAGGGACTTATGAATCTAGGAATCTATAAACCACCTCAAAATAATCTTCCTTATTTCAGCTAATCCAAAAAATCGAAAAGAAAATGGACGAGATGCAAACGGCTGGAATGTGCTACTCCGAAACTCTCTTCCTTCGAAAAGCTGTTGACACCCTCTCGGATTGTCGCCGTACCCTACAGTACACCTACGTCTTCGCCTATTTTCTGGAGAGAAACAACCATGCGATAATCTTTGAGAACAATCAAAATGATCTCGAAATGGCCACTGAGCAATTATCAGGCTTTATGGAGCAGAAATTAGATGCGGTTACCGATTTGAAGGTGTTGAGTCGAAATGTTCAGGACAAGGCTCGCTATGTGGAGCATCGTAGAAAGGTGCTCAGCGAGCACTGCGTCGAGGGATTGGAAATGGAGAACTGGGTGCTTAATGAGTAATCTGTATATACTTCCTTCTTGTTATTTTCTTTGTTTGAACCTAAAGGATTTTGAATTTCACTTATCTAATTTTTATTGTATAATACATATAACTTTTATTTCATATATTCATCTTCAACTTTTTGAACTACTGTAATAAATATGTACAGTTTTGACCATTTTTTTCTGGAGCTCTTCGAAAATTTTGGACGGTGTACAACAGCTTTAGATTGAAAACTGAGCAATCACAGCATTTTCAAACATTTCCTAGATTTTTAGCTGTTCACCAATTTCTGAAAAACCCTTTTTGGCCATAAATCTCCTCAAATCCTCCAATTTGGTCCAAAAATCAAGCTCATCTGGAACCCGAGATACGGTCGTTTGAAATTTGGAAGAGACGCAGACTGTTAGAGTGTCTCGTTGTCTGCGTCTCTAGCCTCCAAAACTTCAAATAGTCATACCTTGGCTTCTAGTGGGTCTAGAAAAATGGTTCTTGTTGCGAAATGTTCCAAATTTTAAAGACATTTCCAGATATCTCTAATTCAAAATCCTTATTGAGAAAACTATCTGAAATACACATTTTTGAATTAATTTTTAGTTTATTAAGTTTGAGATAGATTTGATTAAATACAATTGAATGACACTGGTAATTGAAATTAACAAGGAAAAAATGAGATTATTAGTAGAGCGTTCTGGCGTCAAGACGTTGGAAGAAGGACTTCATGTCGAACATCATAAGCGTCGGTGGTAGATGTCTTCTGCTGTTTGGCTGGCGATCCGTGTAATTCTGCAGCGTCAGGAGTCTTCGTGGAATCGGTCTCCTCCGTTGTCATCTGGTGTTTCCTCTTCTCGGATCCCTTCGTCATCTGGCTTCTCTGCTCCTTAATAACATCCTGTCTCTTCTTTCGAGTTTCGGAGCACTCTTTCTCGTACCGGCAGACCTTTTTGACAACGGAATCGTGAAGAATTTCTTTGCGAAGATCCTTTTCATCTCTGAACTCGCGGTTTCTTCTCCTTCTGGCCATTCTGACCAGTTCCGAGGTTCGTAGTCGGGAAGTTGGGTGGATGCTTTCATCTTCAGAAGAATCAGAAGACGATGAGGAAATAACCAACTTATACTTAGAATCCCTGATCTTCTTGAAGGCATCTGAGGAGTCTGATTGTGAAGACATCGTTCGTGGGAGTGGGGACATAGTAGCAAAAGGCTTGTTAGAGCAATCGATTGAATAGACAGAATCGGGTGACTAGTAGGAAACTGGAATCCTTTATTTACAGTTTCTGGGGACCATGTGAAGACGCTATGTCATTACACACCGTCTGCGTCTCTCATTCTCTCATTTTAAGACCTCCTTCACATTTTACCGGATAATGATGACGATGTGAAGGAGCAGATTTATTACAGTAGTCCAAACAGGTGGATAGGGATGTTTATGGTCCCCATGTGAAGGAGGTCTTAAAAATCTGTATATAAGGAGTCCCAGTTTCCTATTAGTTACCGGTTTAGTTTATCTAACCTATTGTTCTATCCAATCGATTCCTACTATGTCCCCATTCCCACAAACTATGTCTTCTGAATCCTCTACTGCCTTCCAGAAGACCATGGATTCAAAGTATGGGTTGTGTATCTCTCCCTCGTCGTCTTCATCGTCTGAAGATGAAAGCATCCACCCGACTTCCCGCCTTCGTCCATCGGAACTTGCCAGAATGGCGAGAAGAAGAAGAAACCGCGAGTTCAGAGATGAAAAGGATCTTCGCAAAGAGATTCTTCACGATTCTGTCCTCAAGAAAGTCCGCCGGTACGAGAAAGAGTGCTCCGAAACTCGAAAGAAGAGGCAGGATGTTATTAAGGAGCAGAGAAGCCAGAAGAGGAAACACCAGATGACAACGGAGGAGACCGATTCCAAGAAGACTCACGACGCCGCAGAATACCACGGATCGCAAGCCAAGCAGCAGAATACCAGTACAACCGACTCCTATGATCCGTTCGACATGAAGTCCTTCTTCCAACGTCTTGACGCCAGAATGCTCTACTAATTTTCTTATATATTTTTGTTAATTCTAATTACCTGTGTCATTTAATTGTATTCAATCAAATCTATCTGATCTCAAACTTAATAAACTAATAATTGACTCAAAAAAAGTGTACTGGCCTTGTTTTATCACTCGGGAATCTAAATCTTGCTGAAGATCAACGCTAATAAAAAGGGATTGGGAATCACTGATAAATAGTGAATCAAAAAAGTCAGATTTTGGATAGTTTTCTCCGGTTGAATATTAAATTAGAGAGCTTTATAATGAAGTCTTCAAAATTGAGAACATTTCGCAACAAGAACCAGTTTTCTAGACCTACTAGAAGCCAAGACACGCTAACTGTCTGCGTCTCTTCCAAACTTCAAACGACCGTATCTCTGGTTCTAGATGATCTAGAAACGTGGTGTTTGCACCAAAATGAAGGGTTTGAGAGGATTTTTAGTTTCAGTAATGGTCTAGCTGTTCTCAGCTTACCGTATCTGCTCAATTGGAAGCCCGCCCTATATGACAACTTTAAACTCAATTATCTCGGTTCTCATAATAGATATCAAAACACTTCCAACTGATAAATTGTTTATCATAACATCATCCTTATTTCTTCAGTTAACAAGTTCTTGATATATTTCGAAGAAACCGAGATAGTTGAGCTTAAAGTCCGCGTACGGTATTTCAAGTTAGTTTTCAATTGATTTTGATAATGTTATCAGGTTTGACTTTTGTAGTTATTTTTGCTCATTTCTAGCCTTTTCTTCCTATTTTCAAATGAAAATTAAAATCATAAAAAATCAAAAACTTTGGTGGCTAAACTTATTGGTCTACCTTTTTGATCTACCTTTTAAGAGTGAAAAAAACCCTGTTTTTGTTTATTTTCGTTATTTTTTTCGAATTTTTTCTTCTGAAAATTACCAAAAAAAAACGTATCGATTTCCAGAATGAGCTCTTGGGATCCCCCTCTTGACACCCAGTCCATCAACACCACTGGTTTCCTGTGCGCGCTCAATGATCAAATTCTCAAGGTGAGCTTATCTGTGTCTCCGTATGTCCGGATGTCTTCTTTTTCAGTTCTACAGTCTGGAACACGGACTTCTAGAAATCCCCATCTCCGATAACGGCGAGAATTTGGTCCTCGGGAAGTGGTATTCAATTTTTGAAGGGGTAATTATTCCCATGTCCATTTAAAACTTTCTAATCTGAAATTCCAGGACTACGAGGCACATTTCAATTTCGAAATGACGGATTGTAAAGTTTGGGCGGACACCGACGGACAAGTCTTTGCACAAGTCATGGCAATCGGACCCAATGATTTTGCATTACCCCGTGAGATTCGAGACAAGTACAGACTGGCAGTCTGGTCGCCGTTTTTGAAGTTCTTGGTGGATAAGGAGGATCTTTTCAATAGCACATTCAGAGGTGGAGATGTTGGGGAGGTAGGAAAAAACATTTTCCAGCAAAAATCATTCATCTAGCTTCACTAGAAGCCAAGATACAGCTGTTTGAAGTCTTGGAGGCTATAGACGCAGACAACGAGACACTCTAACTGTCTGCGTCTCTTCAAATCTTCAAATGATCGTATCTCGGGTTCTACATAAGCTAGAAATCTGGTTTATGAGCTAAAATGGAGGATATAATTTATATTTTTGAATTATTAAAAAAGTTTTTAAAGAATTTTCGGAAAATTATATTTTTTTTTCATGTACACCCAACTTCAAGCTCAATTATCTCGGTTCCTATTAGAGCTATCAAAAATTTGTCAACTGATAAACTGTTAACTGTAATGCAAGCAATATTTTATCAGTTGACAAATGTTCGATATCTCTCCTAGAAACCGAGATAATTAAGCTCAAAAAGCACAAATAAGGTCTCTATGACGAAATCCCAAGAACTTTTAGCTCCATTATCTCGGCTCTTATAAGAGATATTAGAAATTTATCAGCTGATAAACTGTTTACCATAGTATCAGCAATATTTTATCAGTTGGCAAAATTTTGATATCTCTTATGGGAACTGATATAAATGAAAACTTCAGATAGTGGTCAAATTTGCGCCATCCAAGGATCACCCAGATCGTCTTTTCGAAGTGGTCCGAATTGTTGAAAGGGACACAAGACCACAAAATGTGGCCTATGCACACCTTCCAGTAAGTCGGAATACTGTATTTTGAGTATGAGAATTTTCTATTTTCAGCCATGGACTATGGAATTCCTTGCGACCCGAATGGAACCAGTCTATGTTCTGCGCCCCAGCCTGCCGGTGGGTTTTAGGAATTTATTTGGAATTTTAGTTTTTTTTTGAATATTAGAAGTTTCCAGATTTCCAGAGAAGGGGAGTTTTAAAATCTCCAAATTTGCAATATTCCAGATTGTCAATCGATATGGTATGACTGAAAGAAGGGATGCTGCAATTGGAATCTGCATAAAAGTGGACGTCAAAAATCCAGCATATTCTGCTAAAAAAGCTGGATCTCTGGAAAAATGTTGTGTGCTATTTTCTCCGAGATTCGGATTAACAAAGTTGCTGGTTAGAGAAATGATGGTATCTGGACATAAACATGCGGATAAGAATGTGACAGAACAAGTTAAAAGTATGGATAAGCCGTTTTATAAGGTAAGGAAATTTGAAATACTTGGATTCTTGGATTCTTGAGTCCCTGGTTTCTGAGATTTTCGGATTTTTGAATTCCTAGATTTCTAGATTTCTAGATTCCTAGATTCCTACTTTCCTGAATTCCTAGATTCTTTGGATCTTTGGGATTCTTGGTGTTTTCGGGATGATTTTGAAAATCCATGCTATTCTTCCGATCGTCGGAATTTCCGGGACATTTAAGATTGTTAGGGTTTCTGAGATTTCTGAGATTTTTGAGATTTTTGGCATTTTGAAGGTTTTTAAGTTTTTTGGTATTTTTGAGATTTTTGGGATTTTCGGGATTTCTGACTTTTTCGGGATTTTCGCGATTTTTTGGATTCTTGAATTCTGGGATTCTTGGATTCTTGGTTCCTAGATCTCTAGGTTTCTAGTTTCCTGAATTCCCAAATTCCTAGATTCCTAGATTCCTAGATTTTCAGTTGCTTAGATGCATGGGATTCTTGGATTCTTGGATCCTTGGGTCCCTGGATTCTGGGATTCTTGGCTTTTTGGATTTCTATATTCCTATATTCCTATATCCTTATATTCCTAGATTTCTAGATTTCTATATTCCTAGATTCCTACTTTTCTAGATTCTTAGATACTTGAGATCTTTGGGATCCTTGATTTTCTGGATAATATTTAAAATTCACTGGATTTTAGAGATCCATGCTATTCTTCCGATCTTTGGGATTTCCGAGACATTTAAGATTGTTAGGGTTTCTGAGATTTCTGAGATTTTTGAGATTTTTGGCATTTTTGAGATTTTTAGGGTTTTTGGTATTTTTGTTTTTTGGGATTTTCGGGATTTTCGGGATTTCTGACTTTTTCGGGATTTTGAGATTTTTAAGATTTTTGGGATTTTCGGGATTTTCGGGATTTTTGGTGTTCTTAGATTTTTGAATTCTTGGATTCTTGGATTCCTAGATTCCTAGGATTCTAGCTTCCTGAATTTCTAAATTTCTGGATTTCTAGATCTCCAGATTTCTGGAAATCTTGGATTCTGGGATCCTTATATTCATTTTCCAGCTTGGAAAATGGTACAAATACCAACTCGGTGACAATAGATACCAAAAAAGTCAAAAACAACGAGAAACAGCTAGATCCAAAGCTATTGAGGAATTGGGACCAGCAGATACTGCATTCTATAATGCGGCGGCTGTTCATGTGGAAGAAGTGGAGCAACAAAAGTATACAAAAGTGATGAATGGAGACGTTGAGGTGAGAATTCTGAATTTTAGGGCTTCAGACTGGAAAATTTGAAGCTTGGGTCTCTACATCTGACTGCTAAATTCTCAATTTGGAGGTCTGAATTTCAAATTATTGAAATCCAAAGAATCCGAACCTACCTTCCGAAATTTCAAAATTTTTTGCAGATTGACACTTCATTTGCGTTCAACCACGAAATGCTAGAAGACCCAGGAAATCAAGAGCTCCCATGGGAGATTCGGAGCCAAAAACTGTCAAAAACTGCTCATTTTGTGGACGTGGATATTGGAAGAGTCGAAGTTTATCCAAACGAGTCGCAGTTCATTCTTCAGGTGAGATTAAGAATTTCAAAAGTTTTAGGTTTATTCCCTAGGTTCCTAGATTCCGAGGTTCCTAGATTCCAAGGGTCCTAGATTCTTAGATTCCCGGATTCCCGGATTCCCGGATCCATGGATTCTTGGATTCTTGGATTCGTGAATTCTTGAATTCTTGGATTCTTGGATTCTTGGATTCCCGGATTCGTGGATTCTTGGATTCATGGATTGTAGGATTCGTGGATTCTTGGATTAATGGATTGTAGGATTCGTGGATTCTTGGATTCTTGGATTCTTGGATTCTTGGATTCTTGGATTCTTGGATTCTTGGATTCTTGGATTCTTGGATTCTTGGATTCTTGGATCCTTGGATTCTTGGATTCTTGGATTCTTGGATTCTTGGATTCTTGGATTCTTGGATTCTTGGATTCTTGGATTCTTGGATTCTTGGATTCTTGGATTCTTGGATTCTTGGATTCTTGGATTCTTGGATTCTTGGATTCATGGATTCTTGGATTTTTGGATTCATGGATTCTTGGATTCTTGGATTTTTGGATTCATGGATTCTTGGATTCTTGGATTTTTGGATTCATGGATTCTTGGATTTTTGGATTCATGGATTCTTGGATTTTTGGATTCATGGATTCTTGGATTCTTGGATTTTTGGTTTAATGGAATTCTCGAAATTCTACCAAACTGAATTTTTAAATTCCAGAAAATCGAAACACATCGAAAAATGCTCGAGGAGCAGCATCCAAGCGACTACTCGCGTCTCAAAAACGAAATGTTGATTGTGAGAGCCACTGTGAAGGTCCATAATAGATTCATGGCCAATTCTGAAGCCTACCCGAATCATGGAATATTTATTGTTCGAAAAATCATGTCGATTTTCTATTTGAATGGTGGAAAAATGATTTATGATATGGAGAAGGAGGAGGAAAAGCTGAATTTGTCCTTTGGAAAGCTAACATTGTGATTTTTGTGTATATTTTTATATTCGTTATGATTTATGAAAGTTTTATCTCGAAAAATCGATTTTGTAAGTCCTGGGCCCTTCTATAAAAGGTGCCCTTTTGATAGAGGATTTTTATTGGGAAGAAAAAAACCAGATTTCTAGTTGGCGAGATTTTTGTGATTTTTGGAATCCTTGAATTTTTGTATTCCTAGATTTTTAGATTCCTAGATTCCTGGGTTACTGGTTTCGTGGATTCTTGGATTCTTAGATTTTATGATTTTAGGATTCCTGAATCCTTGGATTCCTGGATCCCTAGATTCCTGGGTTTCTGGATTCGTGGATTCTTGGATTTTTAGATTTTATGATTTTAGGATTCCTGAATCCTTGGATTCCTGGATCCCTAGATTCCTGGATTTCTGGATTTTTGGATTCTTGATTCTTCGGATGAAAACTGAATTTTCGTGATTTTTATGAATGTGATATCTATTTTGTGCATGTTTTAGGAAAGTTTCATCTTGAAAAATCGATTTATTAGACCCTTTCAAAGGGATACAATGATTTATTAAATGAGGAAAAGATCATGGCAAGTTCTTCAGATTATGATAGAGAGAGAGAGAGAGAGAATCGCGCCGAAGGCGCACCAGCCAGCTGTCTGAAGCGCCAGAGGCGTGGGAAATCCGAATATTAAACTGGAGAGATAATGACAAACTGGGATAGGAAAATACAAAAAAAAATCAATACTTGTTAGAATTATTCCAGCTTTTGCCGCTTCACCAATGCAGACGCCTTGGCTCGATACTCCTCGAAACTTGCCAATTTTCTTTTTCTAGACGCCTCAATGCCTCCAAAATGCTTCCGAAGCTCCGTGACCACATTCATCGTCTGCATCTTCTTTTTAATGTTGTCGGCACAACATTCTTCGTGCTTCTCCTCAGCCATTTTTATGATCCAGCTGATTGGGCGCCCCAGTGGCAGACCCATTTTCTCGGCGTCTGCTTCTTGTTTTTCTTCGAGCATCCTCCGCTCCGCCTTGGTCAGAAATCCATCGTTTGATGGTCCTGGTCTTGGTCCAGCAGGTTGCTTCCTCGCTGGATTGGCTTTGGATCGGGGCGGCGAGGAGACGAATCCTTCGTAGAGAGCGGAGAGAAATGACCAAACGCTCATTGTTGTTGTAAAGCTGAAAATTAGAACATGAGATTGGATAGCAAGGAAGTGTTTTAGGAAAAAAATGAAGAGGAAATCAGATTTTCCAATAAAAGAAAAACTAGCAAAACACAAGGAAAAATTGCTATGCCAGTTTGAGAAAGGTTCCCACATTGTCATGTTTGAGCTCAATTATCTCAGTCCCAGTGAACGGTATCAAAAAGTTGTCAACTAATAAATTGTTTATCATAGTATCAGAAATATTTTATCAGTAGACAAATTTTTTATACCTTTTGTAGGAACCGAGATAATTGAGCCCACAATGGACGTATAGAGCGAGTATCTATTAGAACGAATGCGATAGGTTTTTAATTTAATTTTTTGAAAATTTCCACGTTATATCAAAAAATGAGAAACTGATAAAACGTTAAAACAAAAATTGGCTTAAATTTGAAAGTGGGGGTGCAATTCTAATAGAGGTTCCAACCCAAAAACCCCCTATGATATCTTTTTAGCTGCTCAGAGCCTTTACGGCTTCTCACTTAACCCCTAGGACCCCAAAAAATTATCTACAGGGCCAAAATTCTTAGTTAAACTCGTTTTTCTTAGTTTAAACTAGCTTGAAACACTTTGAAACTTTGAAAACTACCATTTTTAACCTAATCTACCTCTAAAATCGCTGAAAACATTCTTGATATCATCTAAATCGTTCGGCTAAATAACCTAGAACCCCTAACAAAGTAAAAGCCCATTTCTAGAATTCAAATGGTGAGTTTAATCCGCTTTGAAATATCCTAAACTAACAATTTTGGGTTAAAAGTACAAGAATCTAACTTCTGTTGATGTTAGATTTTTAGAGATTCTCGGATATCCAACACACCATCTATCTTATCTAATCAATTTTCAAGATTTTCAAGATTTACAGATTCTGGGTCACTCATTTTTTATCTTATCTTATCTCTATACTATGTTCATGTTAGTAGCACTCTATTTGCTTCTGGGGTACTTCTTAAATTACAGATGGTAACAGTAGGTTAAAAAAAAGGAACATAGAAGAGCCCGGACTTTGAGCCAATTTATCTCAGTCCCTGTGCAAGATATGGGAAAGTTGTCAACTGAAAATATTGCTGATATTATGATAACCAGTTTATCAGTTTACATGATAGCTCGTACAAGAACCGAGATAAATTAGCTTAAAGTTGAAGATCGGCTTTAAAAATCAATAAAAAAGAAAGAAATGTTCTGCAAACCAATAGTTATGTTATATGTAACTATATATGCAACTTATATATGTCTCTCTTTAGCCACTTTGCCAGAGGAACACAAAAATTTTAATCTCATACCCATAGTTGATTGTTTAATGACCTTGTAAGACATATTATATGTGTTTAGACCCACCTGGGATTTATTTTTCTTTAGGGAAAGTTTCTCCTGGGAACCTAAGACGGACCAAAAAGGAAAGCAATTTATTGAGAAACTTAATTATAAAAAAAACCGTTAAAAACATTGAAATAAATATTATTATCAACTAATTAATTAATTATCTCCTCCTCTTCTTCATAATTGTACATCATATACGGACTGCTCTCGATTTCCTCAATTGTCAACCTCTCATCCACGTCATCAGTCAAGCAGGATCGAAGGAAATCTGAAAATATAAAAGTTAATTATCACTAATTATCCTTAAGTAACTCACTCAAAGCAATTTGGTCTAGACGATGCCATGCATCAGTCTCATCGGTTTCCCCATCCATCCAGCGTTGGTATTTTTTGGATCTTCTGAAAATTTTGTGAATAAACTTTGAGCTCAATTATCTCGGTTCCTAGAATAGATATCAAAATTCTGTGAACTGATAAATGGTTTGTCAAAATATTACCAATTTTTTATCAGTTGGAAGATTTCTGATATCTCTGAAAGCAACCGAGATATGGTATCGCAAAGGAAAAAAAAATTAATTACCCATCAGCTTTTTTCCATGGCTGCTGTCCAGTTAACAAAACCATCAGGGTCACTCCAGCACTCCAAATATCTATTGGAGGACCTCGATAATTCTTTTGAGCAAAAACTTCTGGAGCCGCGTACTGAGAAGTGCCGTCGGCTCCCTGGAGCAAAATTTCTTCATCGTCGTGGTTCCAGAATTTTCTGGCGCATCCGAAATCGCAGATTTTCAGTTTATCTGAAACAAAAAAAAAATCAAATCCTCCATTTTCTTCCACGTTTTTAGTATATAGAACCCGTGAGACGGTCGTTTGAAGTTTTGCAGAGACGCAGACAGTCAGAGTGTCTAGTTGTCTGTGTCGCTAGCCTCCGAAACTTCAAATAGCTTTATCTTGGCTTCTAGTGTCGCTGGATAAAAGTTTTTTTTACTGGAAAATGTTCCAAATATCGAAAACTTCAATTTAGATTTTTCCAAATGTCCCTGAATTTATATTCAACAAAAAAAGATTTTAATAGTAATTATCCTAAAGCCTAAAATCTAAATTTCTAGTCGCCCCTTGCAATGGTCCAAATGCAATGCATTCAAAGTCTTCAAAATTCGGAACATTATTTCAGCAAAAATCACTCATCCAGCCTCACTAGAAGCCAAGATATGGCAATTTAAAGTTTTGAAGGCTAGAGACGCAGACAACGAGACACTCTGACTCTCTTCAAAACTCTGCGTCTCTTCAAGACTTCGAGTGGCAGTATCTCGGGTTCTAGATTAGCTAGAAACGTGGTTTTTGGACATAATTGAAGGATCTGATTTCTATTTTCTAGATTACAAAGGATAACTCAAAACATTTCTAAAATTTTTTTTTTCAATTTTCCAACCACATCAAGGAACTGAGATATTGTCGAATTTGTAATAAAAGGCTTCCTAACAATTCAATCTGAGAATAATGAACAAATTTTCCATTTTCGTCCAAAAACCACGTTTCTAGCTAATCTCGAACCAAAGAAACGGTCGTTTGAAGTTTTGAAGAGACGCAGACAGTTAGAGTGTCTAGTTGTCTGCGTCTCTAACCTCAAAAACTTAAAATAGCCATATCTTGGCTTCTAGTGAGTCTAAATAAGTGAATTTTGCTGGAAAATGTTCCAAATTAGGGGCCCTTCTACTACAGGTTAAAAATTACTTTAACATACTCACCATTTCTACCAATCAACAAGTTTTCTGGCTTTATATCCCGATAAACCACTCCTTTGCTATGTATATATTTCAACCCAGCGATCACTTGTTTGAAATAATTCTGAGCAATCGACGAGCTCATTCCGGAATCTTTGGGAATCCTATCAAACAAGTCCCCGCACCCAGCGAATTCCAAAAACAAGAAAAATTATTTCGGGTCTGTCTCATGTCTAACATTTTTATGACATTTTCATGGGATAAATACCGATGAATTCAAAATTCGTGCCTAATTTTTTCTGGTTGTGTCTTGGAGACGGCCATTATTTTAGCAGCCATTTTAATTTTGGGGTACTCGGTGTGCTCCATGAGCACCACTTCTCCAAATGCGCCGAGTCCCAGTCGACGCGTGGTTTTGTATTTTTCCAGATCGCTGTCGAGCATTCTGGAAATGGTAAATTGGATTATGAGGGAGGTTTGGGGAAACAATTAGGGCGAATAACGAATAGAAATGGTCCAAAAGTAACAAAATGAACTAATTGTAAGGATAAGGAAAAAAGTGAACTAAAGATTAATTTAACCAAGATTAAACCAAAAAGTTTGAAATTCGCTCTACCGTTAAACCTGCAATAGAAGAGCCTCTAACTTTGAGCAAATTTATCTCGTCTCCTGTGAAAGATATCAAAAAGTAGTCAACTGATAAAATATTGGTGATGTTATGATAAACAATTCCTCAACTTTTGACAACTTTTTCATATCTTCGACATGAGCCGGGATAAATGGACCTAAAGTTAAATTGTCTTTGTATTAGAGGTTTTACGGTAGAACCAAATAATAGACTTCCGGAAAAAAAACGAAAAAGAGCCAAAAGCAAAGCAAATGTTTAAAAAATGAATTTATTAGAAAATATTAAGGCAAAGGGAAGAACAGAAAATCTAAAAATGAGCTTATATCCAGTCCCCTCTAGCAGAGGCCCAGCCTATGCATACCCTTTGAGTTCAATTAACTCGATTCGTATGAGAGATATCAGAAATATGTTCACTAACAAAATAATCCTCATTTTATGATAAATGTTTTATCACTTGAAAACTTTTCTGTATCTTTGACGGAAATCGAGATAATTGAGCTCAACAGGCACGTATCGGGCGAGCTTCTATTAGATCATTAAAGGAAACATGAACTGCTTCATTTGACAAATGTGTGCCTTCCTTTTTCCACCTGTCCATTTTCCATGGGACACAAAAAGAGGGATTACCTAGAACAATTATGAGAAACGAAGAGGGCAAGAATTCCTCTCTTTTTAGTATGTGTTTACGTTCTAGCAGCTGGTGACAGATATCATCTAGGTGAGGGGTCAATTAGAGGGTGGGTGATGTTGTGTCGGTGCGAAAATAGCATGGAGGATGAACCATTTATCTCGGTTCCTATGAAAGATATAAACAAGTTGCCAACTCATGAAATATTGCTGATGTTATGATAATCAACTTATCAGTTGATAACTTTTTGATATCTTCGACAAGAACCGAGAAAGATTCCGAAAATTATCTCAGATTGTCTTATGTAATCAAAGAAGACGAATCAAATCCTCCATTTCGGCCCAAAAACCACGTTTCTGGCTTATCTAGAACCCGAGATACGGTCAGTTTAAGTTTTGAATTCTTTGGATTCCGGTAAGATTCATTCAAAGTCTTCAAAATTCGGAACATTTTCTAGCAAAAATCACTCATCTAGCCTCACTAGAAGGCAAGATATGGCAATTTAAAGTTTTGAAGGCTAGAGACGAAGAAAACGAGACACTCTGACTGTCTGCGTCTCTTCAAAACTTCAAATGGCCGTATCTCGGGTTCTAGATTAGCTAGAAACGTGGTTTTTGGAGAGAATTGAAGGATCTGATTCCTATTTTCTAGATTGCAAAAGATAACTCAAAACATTTCTAAAATTTTTTATTCATTTTTCAACCACATCAAGGAACTGAGATATTGTCGAATCTGTAATAAAAGGCTTCCTAACAATTCAATCAGAAAATAATGAACAAATTTTCCATTTTCGTCTAAAAACCACGTTTCTAGCTTCACTAGAAGCCAATATATGGCTATTTGAAGTTTTGAAGAGACGCAGACAATTAGAGTGTCTCGTTGTCTGCGTCTCTAGCTTCCGAAACTTCAAATAGCCATATATTGGCTTCTAGTGAAGCTAGATAAATGATTTTTGCTGGAAAGAAATCCAAATTTTGAAGACTTTATTTTAAAGGCGTTTCTAATCTGAAATTAAACAAGAAAAATTTCATTTCAATAAAAACAAAACTACATGGATTTGGATCCATTTAAAAAAATGCGTTGAGCTACTCAAAAAAACTAGCAAAGCTTTGAAAAAATTAAGAAGAAAAGTGTAAAATGGGTGAAAATGGAACAACCGAAATTTGAAATTTTCAATGTGAAGAAAAAAAAGAAAAACCGTGTTGAGAAAATGGAAAATGGGCTTAGGAGGGAATGGGAAATGTGAGAAAAAGTGAGAGACATGGATTTTCAAAAAAACGGCAAAAGCTGGGAATTTTTCGTAAATTTCTGGGACCTCTAGGTAACTTCAAAAAGATAAAAAGTATGAAAAATGCAAATTTTCGAAGCAATTACCTTATTTCCGCTAATCGAAGCCCATTCAAACCGTCAACTTTGAGCTCAATTATCTCGGTTCTTGTGAGAGATGTCAGTAAACTTTCAACTGATAAAATATCAGTGATAACATGATAAAAATTTAAAGTGTATGTTAAGAGTGAGCTCCAAATAGAGACCCTATACATACACTTTGAACTCAATTATCTCGGTTCCTTCAAAAGATATCAAAAAACTATGAACTGATAAAATATTAACCATAAAATTACCAATTTTTATCAGTTGACTGATTTCCGATATCTTGGATAGGAGCCGAGATAATTGAGCTCAAAGTTGATGGCTTGGATGAAGTTGATGGCTTGGATAGGAAATGTATTGGAGGCAATCAGGATAGATAATTAAAACGGTGGCGGTGGGCGGTGTACATAATTAGTGGCTGCTGTATAATTAGGATAATTATTTTCAACGGATTGATTGTACTGTTGGATTTGGAAGGAAGCAGAAGCGTTGAGATATGGCAGAGTTGTAGCTTGGAAGCGTTTTGGAGGAAGGTGATCCTGGAATTTTCTGTGTGTTTGTTAGTTTGTCCAGATGTCCACCCTTTCTAGCAAAATGCACAACAAAGTTCATAAAAAAAAAAGAACCCAGAAACCGAAAAATATACCGTCCAATCTCCAAGGCTTCTTTTTCTTGGCTGAGCTAGTTGCAAGCTGGGCTCAATAGTCGGGGATACTGTAGCCGATGGGATTACTGTAGCCGTTGGCAGCAAAGGTGGCGGAAGCATCTGCAGAGCCAAACCCAATGGTGAAAGCAATCCCGAGTTAAACAGAGTAGTGGGAGGAAGCGGCTATAACGAAAAAACCCAAAGTTGTACAGAGAAACTAAGCGATAGGGTGTGGAAAACAACAACCAAAGCAGGGTGAAAGTTAGATGAACTTCAAGCTTATTTATCTCAATTCTTGTTACAGATACAAAAAAGTGAGCAACTAGTGAAAGATGAGAAATTCAATTTTGCATATTTTATCAGTTGGTCGTTGCTAAGCATCTTTCACAGAAATTGAGATAATTGAGTTCAAAGATAAGTCATAGGGTTTACCTGAGCAACAAGTGGTGTCCCGGTGTAGGGGTAGAGTAAGTTGTTGTTGAATTGGGGAAACAGTACTCCGTTGGGGTATTGAGAGGTGTTGATGCATTGCATTTGGGTCATTGCGAGGGGCGACTGGAAATTTAGATTTTAGGATTTAGGATAACTACAGTTAAAACATTTTTTGGTTGAATTTGATTTCAGGGACATTTGGAAAAATCTTTAAATTGAAGTCTTCGAAATTTGGAACATTTTCCAGAAAAGAAACTTTCATCTAGCGACACTAGAAGCCAAGATATGGCTATTTGAAGTTTTGAAGGCTAGAGACGCAGACAACGAGACACTCTGACTGTCTGCGTCTCTTCAAAACTTCAAATGGCCGTATCTCGGGTTCTAGATTAGCTAGAAACGTTGTTTTTGGAGAGAATTGAAGGATCTGATTCCTATTTTCTAGATTGCAAAAGATAACTCAAAACATTTATGAAATTTTTTGGGAAAGATATAAGGAATTTCAGATTAGAGACGCCTTTAAAATGAATTCTTTAAAACTTGAATTTCTTTCCAGCAAAAATAATTTATCTGGCTTCACTAGAAGCCAAGAGATGGCTTTTTGAAGTTACGGAAGCTAAAGACACAGACAACGAGTCACTCTGACTGTCTGCGTCTCTGCAAAACTTCAAATGACCGTATCTCGGGTTCTAGATTAGCTAGAAACGTGGGCCAAAAATTCGGGGGGTACAATGATTCGGGGGTACAAGGGGGTACAACTGATTTAGGGGTACAAAATTGGTGATTCGTGGGTACAAAAATTCGGGGGTACAACGATTCGGGGGTACAATCTACCAATGTTTCTGGGGTACAACTTATTTCATTTGGGGGTACAACGTTTGTGATTCGGGGGTACAATTTTTTTTGACGATGTTTCTGAATTCCTGAATTTCAGAGCTTGAAAATCTCTGGATTTTTAGAATTTTAGAACTTTGGAATTTCAGTATTTAGGAATCTGAAAATTTCGGAACTTCAGAATTTAAGAATCTCAGAATCCCAGAATTTCAGAACTTCAAAATCTCAGAATCTCAGAAATTCGGAACTTCAAAATTTCAGAACTTCAGAATCTCAATATTTCTGAATTTTCAATAATTACGGCAGAAATTTTCTTCATTGTCTTCAGAATTCTTAGAATTTCAGAACTCGGAATCTGAGAATTTCGGAACTTCAGAATCTGAGAATTTCCAAATTTAAGAATCTCAGAATTTCAGAACTTTGAAATCAAAGAATTTCAGAACTTCAGAATCTCAGAATTTCAGAACTTTGGAACTTCAGTATTTCGGTATCTGAGAATTTCGAACGACAAAAATTTTTCACTTCTCATTGTCACATTGTTCTTTTTGAACCCAGCCGATACTTTCCTCAATGCCAATTTTTCTCAATTCCTTGTTTTTTCAATTCTATTTCAATTCCCTTTGTTTCTCAATATTCCTTCGTCTTTTTTCCAATTTTTCTCAATTTTCCTCAATTTTCGCGGTAATTTAAATTTTTCTCCTTTTTAAACAATTTTCTATATCATTGATTGAAGGAAACAATCACAATTTAGCTATTTCCCACAAAATTCGAAAATCCCAAAAATTCGCTCAAAATGAGCTATTTTCTATCGAAAATTGTTCGAACAGGCAATAAAAAATTACAAAAATTATAAAATTAATTTTTTTCGACCAATCACCACGAAAATTTGAGCAAAAATGATGAAAAACGAAGGAAAACGGAGAAAATCCG